TCCCACATTTCGATTACTTTGTAACCACGCTCACGGAGATATGCTGTTGTCTCCTCCGTTTTTTTAAGTTTCGTTGCCCGTTGAGAATGCCACTTTTCACTCTTTATATTTTTTGTTAATGGGCAGTTGTTATGTCCGTGGAAAAAGCAGCCATGAAATTGAAAGATGGTGTTTTTCTCCGCGCAATAGCCGTCCACTGGATACGGTCCAACCCTTTTTTCATATTTATTATTCAACTTGTGTATGATCCTGATATTGTGCTCCTCGCTCAACCAATCTAACCAATGAAATGCAATCATATATTTTTCTCTTATGATAGGACGGAAGTTCGTTTCCTTCTGGCGACGAATGTACGGTCCGACCGGCATTGTTTGTCCTATTGTCCATAGATAGAGTGCGTTGGCATCATACCCTACAATTTTTTCACAAGGCTTCATAATATTTCCTCTAATAAAACTTTCTCCTGCTTTGCTGTGTCGGTTGAAAATGATAAACGGGCCCCCGACAATATTGTTTCTCACCGTGTTGAATAAATCCTCATCCTGTTGATGAAATAGGGAAAACGAAGCCCCCGCTTTCCTTCCAGACTCAAACAACATTTATCGTGCTATACCCGGAACGGACATTGTTACTTTAAAAATGTCAACGCCTTTATCAAAATAAAACGTTTGTAATTTTGCCACCGCCGAAACAAAAGGACCAACATCTAAATTATTGTACCAAATTAAAAAATCTTTGAATGTGTTCATTTTTTTCTCTCTCCATATTCTCAGGCAAAACGAATACTCCTCACAAGAAATGTTTTTATTTTTTAAGGAACTATAAAAATGGCTATGGATCGGGAGGGATTTCATTTCCAGTTTCTCCTCACAATCAAACCATTCGTACGGGAAAAACCCTTTTTGTTCCTGTACTCCGTATGCCTGGAGAAACTTGGCGTATGACGATCCTGGGGCGAGATATTTTGATATGTCCAGAAATTTTAAAGTTTTTGTGCGTATACAGCTGTAGGCGTTACATTTTTTCACTATAAATGCCTTCTTAGATATGTCGTGTAGACCTAAATGTTTCGCTATATTTCGTTTCACTAAATTCAAGTCATACCTGGACGAGTTAAATCCTAGCACTGGAGTTTGCTGGCAATATTCTAAAGTTTTTTGAAGTAGGTTTCCATAAATGTTTTTCATGACGATTTCATTTTCTTCGCATAAATCAATTTTCTCTCGTAGTGAAGAAATAATATCGGACCACCGTTCTTCAGCAAGTAATTTAACTCTTGATGAGATGTTCTCTACATAGGCAATCATACATTTGATTAAATTATCCAGATCCATGTCAACAAAACACTTCGGGTTTTCAAAATCTAGAACGTTTGATGAAACACTGACGGAAATTGGTACATGTTCTCTCGTCCACGATAGTTTGTTTGTATCCTTCTCCGAGGTGTGTGGTTTGAGCATAGCCTCGAAATCGTAAACTACAAACCACGGGAAAAAAACGCCTTTCTTTGGGAACTATAATGTCATAAACTTCCAATTGATCAAAAACTGAGTCGCTCATTTTATAGTAACCTCCGGGGAAATGTGATGTAGTTGTCCCCGTACACGTCCGCCGGTGTCTTAAGCACTTGAATGATGTTGTAAATAGTTTTTCACATGTCTCACATTGAAACTTTTTGGAATAGGCCCGCATATTTGTAATATACAAAAGATGGTTCTCATAGATATTTAAATTCACGACGTCAGAGAAACGTCCGCTACTGGTAAATACTGGAATGACTCTTCCGTCCTCATACATTTTGAAAATGTTAATTCCGATGTTGAAACATGTTTCAAATTCTGAAATTTCACTTAAATTGACTCCGGTGTAGTTGTGTGATTCAACATATGTAAAGTCTCCTAAATCTGTTGCTTTTAGGTGAGCGGCCCACTTTTCGAAGTAGAGACGTATAGAGGATTCAACTTTTTTTTGACCGGTGTGCGTTGCGAAACACCTGAAAAGACATAAATTGTCGTTGTATGGCTTCCCATTTTGATAATTGGTTAAAGCCCTGATATTACGGTTTTCTGCTAAGTATTTAGGTAACAGAGTTTTTCCGGCACCGAGTGGGAAGTTTGTACGATATATATAAATATGTACGTTAGTCATCAAAACGGGCTTCCACTTACTGTTTTCTCGCTGACGAAGCATATATTCCACCAGCTCCATTCCCTCAAGACGATGGCGAAGTTTGTGATTTACATCTCTCCGTTTATTTATCAATAATGGCTGGTCGAACAAGGTTTCGTTACCATATGGACGGGAATAACGAAACTCTCCTGTTTCAATATTTTGGAGAAGTATTCCGAATGAAAAATTAATGCGGAACGCCTGTTCTTCTTCTCCGTATATCTCATCAACGTTCTGTAATAACTGTTCTGCATTGAAATCCGGTGTGAGCGGAACATTGAAAGTCGAGGTCACTGTTCCTGATGTGTTTTCCTCTAGAATGAGTGGAGCATTCAAATCATATGCCTCCCTTAAAGCTTCATCCGTTTCGTTATTTTTCCTCCACGGAGCATGTTCTTCGGAGAATGGAACGGGTTGAAGCTTCAATCCGGAACCCTCCTGTTTATGTCTCATATGATGCACATATAGGGACTTTCGGTTCGTAAAGCGCGCCTTACACAATCCGAAGTCCCGGGGGTTGGGTTGATATGTGTTCCAACATCGCTAGAGGGTCGGGGGGTCGGGATGAATGAAGATGTTCTCTCATCGCTAGATGGTCCGGAGGTTGTTTCAAATGATGTATCCCCATCTGTATCATTAACTCGTCTCCTTTTCGTTGCGTGATCTGTTTCATCTATGTGGAAACGAGAATGTTGTTTCAGCTGTTTAATATTAATGAAACTTGCCTTGCACTTGTGGCAGCTGTATGTCCGGTCAACCTCGGTCCGGTACACACCTGTTGATGACGGAGTCGGTTAAAATTAGAAGAAAAGTTTTTCTCGCACTTTATACATTGGAAAGTTTTCTTTTCATGTAAATTCTGTATGTGTCTGGCGATATTGCTCCTCTTGTTGAACACTTTAGTGCAGTACTCACAGTGATAAACCTTCAGTTCCCCTAATCTTTTCTTCACCATTTCATTAGTCTGGAGGTGATTGTTACTAGCCCACTCTTTAACATCGTCCGCATTGTTCAAATCATGAAGATGAGCAGAAATTACCTCATCAATAACCTGACTTCCCATTGGTGCCTCTTCCAAGGCCTCCATATCTTCAATCCGAGCCTGGATTGTTGGGAAATGAAGAATATCTAAATTCCCGGCCCATGCTTTTAACTCTTCGACATCAGTAAACAGGTTGGCGTGAGCCATAATAGTTCCATCCATGCTATTCATACTGTATGATTGAGAAAGCTCTGTATACGTTGATAATCAGAGTAAGAATGAATTTACCATACCAAATTCGTCTAATAGTAGGTAGGTCTACAACAATCTCCACTTCTGTACACCATTGTCTGTCCGTGTCAATATGTCAGTATATTTGGATTTACCTGTCAAGATGTTTACTTAGCATTTTAGCACCTTGCTGATTTAAATCAACAGCGAAACCCCCTTTTTCGAAATCAAGTTCACACTCAAACATGGAATCTAGCTAAAACCATCNACCCTCCTGTTTATGTCTCATATGATGCACATATAGGGACTTTCGGTTCGTAAAGCGCGCCTTACACAATCCGAAGTCCCGGGGGTTGGGTTGATATGTGTTCCAACATCGCTAGAGGGTCGGGGGGTCGGGATGAATGAAGATGTTCTCTCATCGCTAGATGGTCCGGGGGTTGTTTCAAATGATGTATCCCCATCTGTATCATTAACTCGTCTCCTTTTCGTTGCGTGATCTGTTTCATCTATGTGGAAACGAGAATGTTGTTTCAGCTGTTTAATATTAATGAAACTTGCCTTGCACTTGTGGCAGCTGTATGTCCGGTCAACCTCGGTCCGGTACACACCTGTTGATGACGGAGTCGGTTAAAATTAGAAGAAAAGTTTTTCTCGCACTTTATACATTGGAAAGTTTTCTTTTCATGTAAATTCTGTATGTGTCTGGCGATATTGCTCCTCTTGTTGAACACTTTAGTGCAGTACTCACAGTGATAAACCTTCAGTTCCCCTAATCTTTTCTTCACCATTTCATTAGTCTGGAGGTGATTGTTACTAGCCCACTCTTTAACATCGTCCGCATTGTTCAAATCATGAAGATGAGCAGAAATTACCTCATCAATAACCTGACTTCCCATTGGTGCCTCTTCCAAGGCCTCCATATCTTCAATCCGAGCCTGGATTGTTGGGAAATGAAGAATATCTAAATTCCCGGCCCATGCTTTTAACTCTTCGACATCAGTAAACAGGTTGGCGTGAGCCATAATAGTTCCATCCATGCTATTCATACTGTATGATTGAGAAAGCTCTGTATACGTTGATAATCAGAGTAAGAATGAATTTACCATACCAAATTCGTCTAATAGTAGGTAGGTCTACAACAATCTCCACTTCTGTACACCATTGTCTGTCCGTGTCAATATGTCAGTATATTTGGATTTACCTGTCAAGATGTTTACTTAGCATTTTAGCACCTTGCTGATTTAAATCAACAGCGAAACCCCCTTTTTCGAAATCAAGTTCACACTCAAACATGGAATCTAGCTAAAACCATCGCATTTTAGCACCTGGCTGATTTAAATTAACAGCGAAACCCCCTTTTTCGAAATCAAGTTCACACTCAAACATGGAATCTAGCTTAAACCATCCAATAAATACTCGATTGAAACAAAATTGACAATATATATATATATCAATTTGAATAAGTAACTCAAGAAAATATGTTTGAACATAGAGTCTGGGTTTGAGTATGAATACATGATTAAATAGCATATCTTGCTGGTATACCATGAAAATACAACAAAAACGAAATGGATATCTTTTCAAAAAATGTATTTCTATTGTTTTTCACCCATCTTCAATATCCGTAACGGACCGGTTCTCTTCTGATACGCTGGGATCTTCTTGGAATGTGTTGATGCGCTGGAATGTGCACGTGCTGAACTTCATCCAGGTTTTGTATAGGAAACAGGATTGTTAGGAATAACAAGACCACTGAAATTGAAAAATTAACTTTCAGTCAAGTTTTACTTGCTGAAATTCACACACGGATTCTGTATCTAACGGTTCCATGTAGAATGTATCGGTGGGATTGGATCTAGTATGGTGACATTTTCTCTGCAGATAAATACAGCAGGTGGTTATAGCTAGCGTAATCACTATTACCACAGACACACAAACGTACATCCATAGATGATTATCTGAAATAATAATTAAAATAATTTAATAGTAAAATTTAATAAATAAATAATAAAAATATGAATTAAAAAAAAAATCAATAACAAAAATGTTTCTCAAAGTATTATGTATGTCTAAAACCGGTAAAAGGATAAAAATAAATACTTACCGATTCCTACGAGTCCGATCTCCACCACGGCATTTGTCACGTTCAGTTGTTCCTTTGTTGAGGTTTCATGCTGAGTTACAGTTATCATCAGAGTTCTCTGTTAAATAGAGTAATACATATCTTCGGTTAGATTGCCTTCGTTGTATGTACATGGCTAGCAGTTTATTATAGAAGCCTAATTGAAAATTTAGTTAACTAAAATATCTTACCTGACATCTCACCCCGTTCAAGATAACTTCGATAATATCCCGGTGTAGAAAATCCGAGCAGGTCATCGTCGTGTGTTCTATCTGTAAGCGATTGACATCCCGGAGTTCCTTTAGTCCTTCCTCATCAGCACTCTCACCAAGATGAATAATCCTGACTCCTGCCCTGAGAATCTTTTTTTCGTAGCGATGACATCTTAGAATTTGTCCCGTCTTCGCGCAGTTTTTCCCCATCACTTCCATCGCCATCATCGTCATTATCATCATCATCATCATCTTTGCTATAATCATCGCCATTATCACCTTCTCTATTGATAAGAACTGTTTACATAGCCTTTTCTATTGGGGACAAGGGTCAGTTTTGAGGGGTAATTGGGTTTAATTCAAAAATACATTTCTATACCTTTACCTAAACATACATTCTATACGTTTGTACTTGATATATAAACATTCAATTACATTTATTTATTAACTGATGGGATAATGGTCTAATGTTTTACAAAAAACAAACAAAAAAACATCATCTAATTGAAATAAATAATTACCCCATTGTGGGCCTCACGTAGGAACGGTCAAGTTGACCACGGGCATCATCTTTTAGCGATGGGGTACATATGGGGAAATCAATGAAAATTAAGCAAGTATATATGTTATACCACTTCATATAAACTGTTTCTTTAGTTAAAATGAGTTCTGTTGTAAATTTACTACATAGTATTATATGATATTAACTGAAGCGAATATGAAAATAACTCGCATTTTTCGAATAACACTATGCTTTGTATATTACCCGTGAGGGTCCCCACGGCTGTTAACTCGCACTTGGACTAAAAGAGGTATTGGTCATTAGATAAGACGAGTTTAATTCTGACTCCGCTTATACATTGTGGTGACTATTTTAGAACGAGGTATATAAATGAAATGTATTTACAATCGATTCAGCTTTTATTTCGTCGCTCTTTTGTGCTGGATAATTAGGTGAAAATACTAAAAACATACATACATATACAAGCTTATAAAAATGTTGTTGTTTTAATGCATAGTATATGGGCTACGTACGCTTATATCTCTCATTCTTCAAATCATTTCCGAGATATTTACAACTTTGCTCTACGTGTAATTTTGTGATTTGAAAATGGTCGATATGGTACAGCGCTTTTTGGGAGGACGAGGATTCTACACTAGGTCCTTGGGTCAATTGATTTTTCTCAATGTTACTCACTTGAACGGACAGTTGCGGGTAGATATACGCAAATGGACTCAAAAATATTTTTTTGGTCCCAACACTAGTCGGCATTAGCCTTTCACGGGATAGATGGATTCGTTTTTGCAAACTGCAGGACGATATAGAACTATTGATAGTTGCCCTTAAAAGTGACAATGATGACGGGGTGCATACTTTGAGTTCGTATACTTTAGAGATACGAGACCCGGTGTACGTTGATGTTCTGAAGGAGGGCTCGACCATAAGTGTGTACTTTAGAAGATATGGTGCCCATCCTAGAATCATTAAACTAGCGGAAGAACAATGGAACCACCTGTCGTCTATATTGAATGAAGTTTCAAACGTCGTTAGTGAAAATTAATCAGATTGGAGTGATTAAGAAGAGAAAAAAAACCTTTAAAAAAAATTATAAAACAAAAAACAAAAAAATAAAACCCCACCTTTCTTATGTTTTATGAAAAGTAGTATTATATTATCAACTTTTCTTCTGCATAATTAAGGAGATTTGTAATCATCAGTGTGATGTTATTTCGAGGATTTTTTTTTTCTCCCGGGGAATATGTATGTGTGAAGTGTCACGTTGACTGGTAAACCTCAATATGCTCTGGCCGAACAAACATTCACAGCTATTTCGAGGATTTATTTATTCGAGGAATTATTTCAAAAGATCATTGGTTTGTATGTTAAAAAGTGAATGTATGTGTGAAGTGTCCCGCTGTCTGGTAAAACTCAATTTGCTCTGGTCAAACAAACATTCACATCTCAATAATGTCTTATAATTAATTAGTCTTTTATCCTTCTGTCTACGAACCAGACAGCTCCTTTGTGCGCGCGTTAAAACAGGTTCCGATGTGTTGTCACTTAATGCTTCGGGCATGTGGACTTGTCCGAACACGCCAATGTAATACGTCATCAGGTTTGAGCGTACTGTCTAAACGAAACAATAATTAATTTATAGGTGACCTTTTTTTGTTCTTGAAAAATAGAGTTTATAACACTTTGGATTTTTTTCAGCCAAAAATAAAATAAAATTTTAATTTTTAATTTTTATAAAAAAAAAACACATTTTAAATTTCATTAGTTTGTAAAAAATAAAAATTGACCACATTTCAAATTTGATGATAAAAAAAAATGGCGACCAAAATGACGAGCTGGCTCCTCATGAAAAAACAAAATGGCGTCCAAAATGAGGAGTTGGGTTGACACGTGTCACCAAAATGAGGAGCTGGCTCCTCATTAGAGCTGGCTCCTCAAAAGCGGCCCAAAGGCTACATCTATATACTACTTTTACAACCGATTCCGGTAGACCGTTCCAGATATCAACTACCCTAAACGTGAACGAGTTTTTCCTTAGCTCTGTACTACATCGTTGTTTATACAGCTTAAATTTATGTCCTCGTGTTCTTTCGTTATTATCGTAGACAAATATGTCTGACGTGACTTTCTCATCAAACTTCCTCTTCACAATCTTGAAAACGTTAATCAAATCACCTCTAGTCCTTCGGTGTTTTAGTGTCGGTAGTTTTAATTTTTCTAAACGTTCTTCGTANTATAAAAAAAAAACACATTTTAAATTTCATTAGTTTGTAAAAAATAAAAATTGACCACATTTCAAATTTGATGATAAAAAAANGAATGATGTAAAATGCCCTGTACGTATATGTATAGTCTATATATCGCCAATTTGTACGATGGGTATGGCACAGGCTTGGCAAGAAGAACAGAATAGTACTCCCAGCATGTGTGGTGCAGAAGATCAGAAAGACCTTTCCATCAGAGGAATACACAGGGTTTCAATATCCAAGAGACTATTAGTTTGACTTTCGAAATATGTTTACTGTCTTTTGCTGAAGCGGGACCTGTGGTTTTTCACTGCTTCAGTAACATCTACGCGGTTAGCACGGGCAGCTGGCAAAGGACAGTATGCAGATTTTATTTTCCTAGCTTTTTCATAGGTTGGGAAATCTTCCCTTAGACTGAAGGCTTGATCGAAGAGCTCTGTGACATAGTCTACAAGAAATAGAACAAAGTATGTAATTTAAACAGTTCAGTGAAGTAATAACTTACCATTCATAATGTAAACAGAATAAGATAAAATAAAAGATTTTAATTTATGAGCAAATATGACTT